TTAATTTATAACCTATTGTTCCGTACTACGGCACCACCGGCGGGGAAGCAGCGTAGGGGTCCCTTCCAGACCTCACCCGCCGCCCCGCGCCCCCTCACACCGCGACCTTCAGTTGCGCTTCAGCACTCCGCGCGCCGACACATCAATCATATTTGTCTATTTTGTACATCATCTTTCATCGTAATATAATCATCAGCAACCAACCAGCCTTTCATTACAACATACAGTCCACTCGCTCAACATATGGTCCTTCGAGCCGGATTACAAATATAATAATAATTAGCTTTTGCCCGCGACTTCGTCTACTCAGAATTAAAATAAGGGTGTAATTTATCTCATGTGCTACACGAAGCTAAGTTTTATATGTGTGCTAAATTTCGATAAGATGTGTTGAATTGTTAAGAAGTTATAGAGTTATGTGAATCGATCGGAAACTGTACATATTATCGGGATCATAGGTAGCCTATATTCTTCCAGACTGTATTCTCATCATCTACTTTTAACAGTGGTAGAACCCGCTTTAACATCTTCGCACGAATTGGCCAGGTTCGCCCCGTGAAATACCACGACCACACAGAAGACAGGCGTGAAGTGGAAGCAATTCCGCGTTTCGTCTGATGAGTGTGCGTCCCGGAGGCCTAATTAAGTCCTCTTTCCCTTCCTACACTTTTTCTTATAAGGATGGGAAGTGGAAGTGGACTTTCCGGATGAGAGGATGCATGGAAATGTTTTCTTTCTGTGCATCGTCTCTTCCGTCGATGAAAGGTAGGCAACGCATATGCAATTGCGGTCACTTCGCTATTTCAGCGATTTCATGTGGCCGCTCGCTCGTTTGCCACCTTATGATATAAAAAAAAATCTCATCTACATCTGTACTAAATTTCATCGAGAATCATGCAGATTCTAGCGATACCTTGTAACAAACATCCATCCAAACATTCGCATTTAATTGTAAGATTAGCGAGATATGTTAATAAGTAATAAACATAAGTTTCTATATTGTGTAATTTGTATGCAAATACCTAAATAATCCTTATACTAGGTTTACGAGCACAGTTTAGTATTTAATGAACTTGTAAAAGCTCAGCGTGGGAAAACTTGTACGTTTTTATTGTCAACGAATGTTAAATGAGAACATATGTAAGTTAAACAACTAATTATGATATTGTTAAAAATTTATTAAATAATGAAATTTACCGAGAATTTAGATATTTGGAAATTCGTGTTACAGTGTTTAAGGGTTTTCGACAGACCGCAAAGTAAAGCTGGGAAGATTTTTTTATCGCAAATAAGATAGAGCCAATTTAACCAATTGAAATAAGGTTTTACTTTACAACTCTTTATATCAAGAGCAAGCAAGTCGTATAATGGATACGTAGACAATATTAAACCTACACTAAGGGTAACCTTTAATTATTGACGACTCTGATAGTTGCAGTTAAAGTCCTAAGTAATTTTCAGTCTTGAAAAAGAGAGTGGTTGAGATTTTTTAAATATTAAATAAGCTAACGCTTGCCCACGATCCATCCTGATGAAGTGATGTAGTCGAAAGATGGTATACGCTAGCTTAATGCCTATTCACTCTACTCTTAAAGGCTCCCACGTCATGCTTGGAAGCCTTCAAAAGCCTTCCTTTACAGTAAAAGGATCGCGTCGCCCTCGCGTGGGCTCGTTCGGTACCAATTTAGGGTAATCAGGTCAAAATTGATCGGTGTCCATATTTATTGCTTTCATTTCTTTAGTCTCAGCCACTTTGTGCTTGTCATGTTTTTTATTTAGACGTCAGAACGCCCATTGTTCACGCCCGCGCCGTGCCGGGGGCAAGTGCCAACAAATTACTCCATTTATTGATTCAAATCTCTTGTTATAAATTGCTTTTAATTTATAACTTTGGTCTGAGAAACTATTTATAGTTACATATACTGTTGCTTTTATTATGTTACTAGCTGTCGCCCGTGACTCCGTCCGCGCTGAATTTATAAAAACTTAATAAGTAGCCTATATGATCTCCAGTTCTATATATATACCAAATTTAATTGAGATCCGTTAAGTCATTTTAGAGATACCTTCAAACAAACATCCATCCATTGATCCATTCGAATATTCGCATTTATAATATTAGTAAGATAATATAACTCACAATCATTATAAAATAGACACACAAACAGTACATCAAATTTATTCTAGTTACTTCCCTATACAGTGGTCACTTTAAGACATCAGTCGTAGCTATTTTGGTTCATCACCATAAAAACTGTTTAGCTGTTATGGAAATATCTTCAAACCAAACACTAAGGTTAACGGTCTTTTCACTTCTTTAGCCTTCTAGCATAAAGTAAGACTAAATCATCTTGTTCATGATACGTAGTTATAAAATTATCATTGTCTTTATCTTATATTGTATTTGATTTCTATATTTTGGATTTCTAATCATAACATATTTCCTAATGTTATTGTATTTGTTCAACGACCATACGAGATGTCAAAAAGATGAAGTAACTAACCTGAAAATTATTTTGTCAGTGTTATGTTGCATCCGACTTAACAAGGTATTGTTCTAAAAATGCCCGATGGCCTTACATTTTGAGGCTTATTTTAAAATACGAAGACTCAAACAAACGTAACGATGTTATAAGTCTTGTTTTCTAAGTTATTTTATTTATGTGGCTGAATAGATCATAATATCTTTGCCTTTTAATGTAACCTATCGTTCGCGTCAAAAGGGTACGATGTACGCAATATTAAATTCATCAGCTGTCAAAGGCTCGAAGGTTTCATTGGAAGGTATTGTTTAACTGACGCCAGTGTTGCCCGTAGCTCCGTAATTAAACGTTTCTTTCGAATTTGACAAAGGCCAACATTGACGTTTGACATAACCTATACTTAATTCCCGCCAAATTGCAGCCCGAGGCGCAATTATGTTAAATTTCGGCTTAATAACAATGTAACTCTTAAAGGTATCGCACCCGGACATTATTTTATATTGTAAAATATTTTTTTTTATTTGTTTTATAAAAGCTTATGATTATGACGAAATTCAGTAAACCTGGCAACATATAGTCTAAGAATCGGTGGTACATTAAAATGTGTCATGTTGTTATCAGATGGGTGAAAATCAATCTCTGACCCCTTTACTATCAGTTTCTTTGGCAACTGAATAAAATATTTATGAGATTTTTATCATTATCACGTATAAATAGTTTTTTACTTGTTACTTTACATAGAACCTTCTTTTTATTTTTATTTCTTCATAATATAAGGTTGACGTGCATTTTTTTAGTTGTCAGTAATTTTTAGTATATTTTATCTATACTAAAAATTACTGGCAACTGTGCTGTTGTGTTTTTATAAAACTCGTATGTTTATTTCACCTTGGCTAAATTGATTTCAACTTATTTTGACGTTTACTTTCTTTATAAATTATACTTTTTTTTTTTTGGTCAACGGTCGTAATTGTTTATGGTGAAATTTTAATAAAATATGAGAATAAATTCCTACACCTCAGGGTCGAGGTCACAAGATTTAAAGCTCGACCTTAACTTTGCAAAAAGAAAACAAAACATGAACTTTGACATATTAAGATGTATTTCTTTACTTTTTTACAGACTTTATACCTTACTAGCTGTCGCCCGCGACTCCGTCCGCGAGATATTAATAATAAACTTAATAAGCAGTCTATATTTACTTCCAGACTATGTTCTACATTTGCGCCAAATTTCAGCGAGATCCATGCTGCCGTTCCGACGATACGCTCAAACATCCATCCATCTAAAAATTCGCATTTATAATATTAGTAAGATTTTGTACAAAAATGCATGATTACAAGCACTTTTAGGTCTTAGTATTTAAAAAATATATATATTTCAAGGCTATTATTTTTTTATTACGAATCAAAGATATTATAATGTAAATAGGAATGTTATTTCTTTTGATAATTTTATTATAATACATGTTGTCTATAATTTTTCACGCGCTGCAATTTTCTCATTTCATGTTCTTGACCGATTTTATCATTGTATTTTATTGCTTGAGTGCGGCCGACGAAGGTAGTTATGTGTTTTTCAATTATTTTACAATAGGTTATTTCATGGCATCATCATAAAAGCTAAGTTTTAATATGTGTTTCCATTGTCAAAGTTTGGACGGATGGATGTTGGAAGGTATCTCTGGAACATCTCAACGGATATAGAACACATAGGCTTAATTAAGTTTTTTTATTAATTCCCCGCGAAAAGAGTCGCGCATGCGACAACTAGTTTTATCGTAAGTCTAATACTGTATGAAAACTGAGATATGAAAGTGTTACGACAATGGAAATGTACGGTAGAAATATTAATCAACATCCATTTATTTGGCGCCACAAAATTTATTGAATTTCAATGTCTTAAGAGATAACCAACGCTTAAATCAATTATATATATCACTTAGAACTTGCACAATGTCTATTTTAATGATGTGATTGCATATTAATTACTAATACTTAGTCACTTAATTAGCAGGTTTATTAAGTTAAGTAATCTATATATATAAAAGAAAGTCGTGTTAGTTACACTATTTATAACTCAAGAACGTCTTTACGGATATGCTTAGAGCCAGGAGACGGACGGAAGAACTGCTTTTTATTTAACTTACTAATATTATAAAAGCGAATGTTTAGATGGATATGACATGGATGGATGGATAGGTGTTTGAAGATATCTCTAGAACGGCTGAACGGATCTCGATTAAATTTGGCATACGTATAAAACATAGTCTGAAAGAACACACTACACTAATTAAGATTTTTTATATATCCACGCGGACGGAGCCGCGGACATCAGTTACATATATAAATGCTTTATTGTAAGACGCATTTATCCAATTATGAGTAAGCCTTGGCTTCTGAACTAGATCTAAGCCCTGTGTTTCAGTAGCCAATCCCTTCCCCTTATCATTAATTCAACTAAATAATATTTGTTTGATGTGTAACAACTAAATTCGATTTTATAATTTCTTTCCAGGCCGCCAGCGCTCTGTTCACGCTAGATGGCGCCAGGGGTGAGATTCTCGCGCGACGATTGGCTCGAGGTGAGCGTCGTCGACGTCGATGCCGTGCCGTGCTCGCGGTGACCGCACTGTTGCTGCTACTGGCCGCCGTATGCGCTGTTGAGCTGCTCATGTCACGAGGGCAGAGGGTCTTTGGAGCTGTGCTGCGTTGAATGGTCAGCACTTGAAAGGTTAGAACAGTTAAAGGGAACCCCTAAATCCTAGTTAACTGGTCCTTAGGAGACTAAGGAGTATAGATTTCTTATACTAAAGCAACAAGAGTGTTAAATTCGGTATTCCATTATTTTGAAGTACGTCAAATTATTTGAAATGGTTTAAAGCAATGATAGTAAATATTGCCCTAATATTTTTTAGTTTTGGGATTGATTCTTTATAAATAAAGTGGTATGCAGAGTTGCTAAATTTATGGTATACTTTCACAATTGCTTAAAATAATTTCACATTCAACAAAACAAGTAAGAATCAAGGTGCAATTGTGTAACAATAAATAAGTTGGTTTAACCAAAAGGAGCTCACCTAGAAAGCTTTCGTGTCCACTCAGCTGAGCTCTTAATTTATGTGAGAAATAAACTATCGCCCACTTAAAATATTTTCACCGAATTTGGCGAAAAAATGCGGTTTAGTTGTTCACCTTTGTGATGGCGTAATGTAAACTTACTCTTACAATGTCTTGATGACATAGTTCAAGGTGTAATCTTGCTCATCTTTATATTTCTTGACTTTTGTTAAATAAATACTAAGTTTTAATTGCATTATTAAAGAGATTCCTTTAGCATTTTCACGCATCAAAATTATGTTTCAGGAGCATAAAACGACAATGGCGGCCAACCTCCAGTAATGGAGAGGCATTAGAAGAAGAGCAGAAAAACGCAGAACATACTCGATGATGCAAGTCTACGTGGCATTTGTGTTTAAATTCCTATTTTAATAAATTTTTTATTTTAAGACGAATTAAAAAAGGCATTGCTGATTTTCTATAATTTGCAATTTATCGATAATTTTGGGACATCCCTATCATGTCTTTACCAATGACAGTCGAATTTTATTCGCACAGGTCTTGCTCGGTTTAAAGTTTAGTGGAAAAAGGAGTTTGAGGCGCAAGAACGAATGACATAAAACTGACAGATGTCAGATTCACGTTTCGTTCATAAATAAAATAGAGTCGAATTTAATAGTTAAGTCTAATTTGATAAACATATATTTTTGTCTATGGTCTCCATTTTTAATTTTAATTTAGTAGTAAGTTATTTTTTTAATTGTATTAAAACACATCCATTTATTTAACTATATGAACAAATGTTGATTCAAGATATTTGTGTTAATTTCTGTTTTTTAGTTTTTTTAAACACAATAAGCCATAACTATATTAAATAAGTCATATTCATTTTTAAATAAGTAAATAGAAAATATATTTTAATTATTGTAATTAATCGATTAAATTATGTGATCTTTATAAATTGTGATCTTTGTACCTTAGTATGAATATTGGTGATGTAAAAATTCAATTTTAATTAAGCGATATTTTTAATATGAAATGTATTTGCACAAAGTGCATTCGTATTTTTTTATGAATAAAATATATTTGTGGTGCATTTTTTTTATTATTTATAACCGACTCCGTTCCCGCGGAATTAGAAAAAAAACCGAAATAGTAGTCTATGTGTTCTTCCAGACTATGTTCTACATCTACGTCAAATTCAGCGAGCTTCGTTGAACCGTTCCGGAGATACCTTTAAACAAACATCTATTCATCTAAACATTCGCATTTATAATATTAGTAAGATTTATTAATACATTAGAAATATATTAAAATAAAAGTCAGACATCTAAATTTATAATATTTTATTTACATTAAAAGATAGATAAAAAATTGTCTAATAAAAAATATTGAACTAAAGAGTATTTATGGCATCAAACCTTGAAATTCTAGTTGTAATAAAACATATTGCTGTCCCAGTTTTTCCAAAGAGAATGACAGGGATGCAAATATTAATTTTATACGAGTAGGTAAAATTTCAGTCAGCAAACACGATGTCGTCAATCTTCTGGTCTTGAGGGTCCATGGGGACATCATCTAGAACTTGGCATTTGAAGCCTATTGCTACCACCTGTGGAAGACACTAATTAATCTTAACTAGCATTCACCCGCGACTCTTCGTACGGAATTAAAAAAATGCTTAATTTGTGTTCTTCCAGACTATGTTCTACATCTATGACTTTCATTAAGATCTGTTGAGTCGTTTTGGCCTTCTTACATCCATCCATCCTAATCTTTATATATATAATTCTTCTGTGAGTGTGTATGTAACTGAACTTCTCTCAAACGACTGGACCGATTTTGATGAACTTTTTTGTGTGTGTTCAAGGGGATCTGGGAATGGTTTAGATTCACAATTTTGTCCGCTGGACAATGTTTTTTTAATTAATTTTTAATTTATTAGTAGTTGCTGATTTTGGAATGCTAAATGGCGCTACCATCGCAGTGTCAAATTTTAAATAATATTCAAATTAAAGACGTGTAGACAGGACAACGTCTGTCGGGTCCGCTAGTTTACATTTATAATATTAGTAAGATGAATGTATTATTATGCCAATTATTAGATTTAACGTAAGGAAACATTTATTTTTATTCTATTTCAATTAAAAAAAAATATTGTCTTTGAAACTAACTTTAAAATGGCTGTACGGTTTAAGATATAAAAATTTAAGAGAGTTAAATTAAAATAAGTGTTTGGATGTAGATTTTAATTCCAAATAGAAGAAATGTCAGGCAACAACTTTCTAAAATATTTTGTTATTTTTATATTTCTAGTCATTACGTATTTCACACTTACTTTTGGAGCTGTGTCTGGATTTTGTCGTAGGTTGGTGATATATTTATCGTAGTATCCACCGCCATGTCCAACTCTGCCACCACTCCGGCTGAACGCGACTCCCGGTGCTATGATCAGATCTAGACCTAAAATAATCTAAGTTATGTTTGGTAGTTCTAAAGTTATTAGCTTTTGTTACTAAAGTTACTAGCGTATTGGTCTGCGCTGAATTTTAAAATCTTAAATATAAGTTCTCGTGTCACAATTTTCGTTCCCATACTCCTCTGATACGGCTTGACCGATTCTAATGAAATTTTGTGAGCATATTGAGTTGGTCTGAGAGTCGGCCAACATCTATTTTTCATCCCGCGTAGACGGAGTCGCGGTCGACAGCTAGTAAAGCCATAAATATCACTCGCGACTATGCTCAATAATGTGCCAAACTGCAATGGAATTACGAGGAAATATGTTAAACAAATGTATTCCACTGGCACCGTACACATTTCCAAGATCATAGTTAGGCTATGTGTTCCTTCAGATTGTTTTCGATATCTTTAGTAAATTTCATAGATCCCTTTTTCCTACAAGGAACATTTTTTTATATCATAAGGTGGCAAACGACCGAGCGGCCACCTAACCATCGTTGAAATAGCGAAGTGACCGTGGCCGATAGACATACGCGATTGCGTATGCGTTGCCTACGGACGGAGAAGAGGATGCACAGAAAGAAAATATTTTCCCTTTCCATGCATACTCTCATCCGGAAAGTCCATTTCCACTTCCCATCCTTTCCTTATAAGAAAAAGGGTAGGAATGGAAAGAGGACTAAATGAGGCCTCTGGGACGCACACTCATCAGACGAAACGCAGAATTGCTTCCACTTGACGCCTGTTTTCTGTGTGGTCGTGGTATTTCACCGGGCGAGCCGGGACAATTCGTGTGAAGATGTTAAAGCGGGCTCTACAACTGTTAAACATCCATCTAAACTTTCGGATTTATAATATTAGTAAGAAGAAACTTGAAACCAACGGGTACAAAGACCAGGCCAAATTTAAGTTCTTGATTTTTGCCTAACTCTATGGACTTACTATTTTGGCTATGGATGTCTATGGTTAAAGTCATACGTACCAATATCCAGTGCGTCATCCCTGACCTGTTCCTTGCTGTGCTGCTGTATACCGTGCCTGGTGAGAGGCATGGCTGACTCATCACCTGACTCCAGCTTCAGCATCCTCATCTTGCCCCCCGCATACTGCGGCACGAACGCAGCGCCCCCTTTAGCTTTTATATCAGCTATTATCGGCGCGGTATCAACTTCCTGATCCGTGCTCATGAATATCGCTACATTCTTCGCTTTTTTGTAGCATGGATGGTTAACAATCTAAAAGAAAAATGAAGAAAATTTTAATTATATTTTAACGACCTCCAAAGGATTTTTTTGGTATCGGGGAGAAATCTTCGTAAGAAACCTCGCCTTTTAGCAGAAAGATAGGTTTATGTGACTACTCACTGAAACCCCGTCGGTGGTCAATCTCAAGTGTGACTGTGATGGTCCCAGGATCACCAATGTAAAGCACCGGAACCATATTAAGGATCTACCTAAATATTTCAAGCAATCGTTTGGTGCGTGATGAGTTGACGATCGCTATACGTGAACCGTTGTTTGGAGTCATCCCTAACAATTTTTACCACAAATTTGCAGATTGTTTGAAGCATTTCCTCTATGTATTTACAAAGTACCTTATCATAAACAATTTTGGATTGCCTCTTCTTTTCTTCGGTGGATAGAGCTGCGATCCTGGCGGCTACCTGTTCGCGGATCAACACTTTGGCAGGATTGGGTGTCAGTCTACTCATGGTGATAATGTTTCTGTAAAGAAATAAGAAACTTGCTAATACTTAACATAATGACATATTTGAAAACGTTGAACATTTACTTAAAAATATAATACCATAAGCATGACCCTGTTACAAAGCAAGAGAGCAAACAAAATTCAATTTAACGGCTGTGAAAAGCCACAAGACAGTCTTAAGTTCCTAGTCCCTAATGTAACTAACATGGTAGATTAAAATATTTATATTTCACAAGATCAATATGTCTACAGATAAAATATTATTGGATTAAAGAGCATAAAACCAGAAGAAACTGGACAGAAATTCAAAACATATCCTAGCATTTGCGTTATCGTCTTTGAGCTGTTTGTTTCATAAATAACGTTGTCCCTATAAATAAATGATTCGCAATAAACAGTTGCTATTGCATTTTAATAGAACAAAATATATTACTTTTAATCGGCGTAATGTGTATTGACTTCTTATTTGCCCTAAAATATTATCTCGAGTTTACTGACCTCATTCAATTACGACTACAAAACTTTAATCAATCATTAAATGAGTTATAAATATATTATTTGTGATTAAATATCTCTTTACACATACCTAAACATGGACGCTCTCTAAAACCATTATTGAAGAAATAACCTAAAAAGTTTTTTTATTCTCAAAACGACAAAATATCAGCGTTAAATTGAAACTAAGCAAGTGGTTGTTTACGTTTGTTCACGTACGTACGAAAGAGACACACAATAATTCTATTTCACCTATATTCATGGTAATAAAATTTATCTGAGGCATATTATTGTTAAACTGAATTATTATGTAAAGGAAACTTACCAGTTCACGAGATATTCTTACAATTCCGTGATTGACACTACTGCACTGACTTATCTTCATTTATTATTGTTTTATATCTCACTTTAGTATCTCAACCAAAACAAACGTGTTAACTTTTATGAGTGCAAAAGTACAAAACAGCGACATCTATATTAAACTGGCTGCACTACTGACGAAGACACTGTGACATTTGATATTCCATTTTGTTGAAGGTAGATGGCGTGACTGTCAAAATTGTAGTTTTTAAAATATCCAGGTTTACTTTAGAAAACAAAATTTATTTAAAACAGTGTAAGTATATTTTCTTTTTAGTGTATTGACTACCAAAAAATCAAAAAATATGCAAATTTATGAAACCTATAATCATATTTTATTAACACTTTGCATACATTCTCTAATATTCTCTCTTTTTTTATAACCTAAAAACCGAACTAAGAAATAAAGTACACAAATATATTGAAATGCAATATAAGGTTGATTTATATACAAGCGTGCTAGTGCACGTAGTATAGTTACTATTAAATATCGTGCTCTTGATATAAATTTATAATTTATTGGCAATCGACGAAGTGTTAAACATTTTCAATATTGGCAATACAACAATTGCTCGCAGTTTCATTTTGTTGTTACTTCGACTACATAACTCTTGTACTAGTAATATATATTGTACAAGCTGTCGCCCGCGACTCTGTCCGGAATTAAAAATAAACTTAATAAGTTGGCTATATGGTCTTCCAGACTATGTCCTACATCTCATTTCAGCGAGATCCATATTTCCGGAGATACCTTCAAACCAACATCCATCCATCTAAACATTCGCATCCATAATACTAGTAAGATAATAAGATAAGATAAGAAGTGAGATGTAAAACTACATTCAATGTATTTATGAATAAAAGGTTATCTTTTTTAATTAATCGGAAGAAAAGAAAGAAAATTCTGTACATCTTAAGTAGTGTCTTAGTGTAGATATTTCATACAAATCACTTAAAATACACGGAGTCTGTTTTAGTAAACGATTAACAACTCCAGTTACAGGTTATTTTCACTTTTATGCGATTACAATAAAGTGCAATTTGGTGTAACATCGCATTTACATTATATTGCAGGTTTTTAGTTGAAGCAACGTTGGTTTTTAGTTGGTTAGCATATTGTAGAATAGATAAATGTAGAGGTAAGCGAGCGTGCTAACAAAAGAGATAAGGTGAATCTACTTTCCAGTATAACAAGGCAAGTTTATCACGAGACAGATTACCCTGTGTACATAATGCGTCACTTTCGCTATAGCGTTTTGTTGCGATGCTTTTTAATATATTGAGATTAAATGTGGATGGCTACAAAGGTAGAGAAAGATGTATGGATGGATTGTGTGAAAGTGGATATGCCAAGGAAGGGAGGATTGCATACTGTGCTGACCCTACGTAGGTATAAGGGCAGGTTGATGGTTAATTTTTAATACCAAGTCTTCTAAGATATAAAGAAAAAACTAAAGTAACATCTAATTTAACACGTTTAATGCCACAACTATGTATGTGTATTAAATTATCTCGAATCTGTGGCAATTAAAGTGTTAACTTACCTACAATATTATTGTCAACTTAGAAGTGTTCCCAACAAGTATTAAAAACATGAAGGTAGTAAATATATTTGAGAGATGTTTATTATTTTCCGATATTCATAGAGCTACTAGTTGCCGCCAGGATTCTATCCGCGAGAAATTAAAAAAAAAACGTAATTAGTAGCCTATGTGTTCTTCTTCATATCTGAGAAGAAATTCAAAGATATGTGTGAAGTTAACCAACCCGCACTTGGCCAGCGTGGTTGACTATGGCCTAATCACCCTTAACTTAGGGTAGGCTCCGAGCCCCTCGGTGGGGACGAATAGTGAGCTGATGATGATGATGATGTGTTCTTCTAGACTATGTTCTATACGTATGTCAAATTCCATCGAGATCCGTTTAGCCGTTCTGGAGATACGTTCAAACAAACATCCATCCATCTAAACATTCGCATTTATAATATTAGTAAGATTATTTGCATAAATCTTAATAATACCACATCAAGATTAACTTAATTAACTTGACGCTTCGTTAAGTAAATCTAAGTGAGGCGTCTTGAAGCACGTCGTTACTTATAGGCTCAGACTTTGTTTAATCCAAATAAAGTACTTAGTACTTGTTTATTGTTTTTTTATATACTTAGCTTGTTATCTTACTTCGTACTAATATTATAAATGCAACTGTTTGGATGCATGAATGGATGGATACATGGATATTTGTTACAAAGTATATCCATCCAGAACGGCTGCATGGATCTCGCTGTTTGGCAAAACATAGACTACTAATTGTTTTTTCTATTCCGTTCGGACCAATCAACAAAAATTTACATTAATATTGTTTTAATTTTCTTAACATTTTTTGTTATTATTTTAATAAGTATAAAATAAAATATATTAAACTTGATTTCTTTAAAAACAGGATATTTGTTTAACTAAAAGATAAAAGATGTTGCAACTTCCGATACGATTAGTAAATATTTTTATCTTATCGTCAGATAGAAAATTTGAAACTTCGTGCGAAGATGTTAAAACGGGCTCTACCACTGTTAGAACTAAACTAAACTAAAATAACTTTGAACAGTCACTCTCTCTGGGGAAATGGAAGTACGAAGCTTTCTTAAGAAGGAAATATCTCTATTCTTGAAATTCTAATTCTTACAAATATCCCGAGAGACAATATTCTGTGAAGTTTGCGAGGAATTTTCGAGAGACGATGAAATTGAAGATATTAAGATGTCAAGTAGGATTATGAGTAAGCTTTTAGGTCTTTTTTTTAATAATTAGTCATCATCATCAGCTCACTATACGTCCCCCTATACTACCCACCTATAGTGGGGGTCCACGTATAGTGGGGTAGACCTACCCTAAGTTAAGGGTGATTAGGCCATAGTCAACCACACTGGCCAAGTGCGGGTTGGTTGACTTCACACATATTTTTGAATTTCTTCTCAGATATGTGCAGGTTGCACCAAGATGTTTTCCTTCACCGTAACAACGTCGGACAAATGTACATATGTAAATCGGAAATGGAAAAACACATTGGTACATGGCGGGATTCGAACCCAGGACCTGCAGATTGCAAGTCAAGTGCTTGACCACTGAGCCACCGACGCTCTCCTACTAGTATAAATAATCCTAATAATCCTAAATAGTACTTATTATCTAATCTAAATGTAGAATCTTACTAATATTATAAATACGAATGATTGGATAGATGTATGGATCGTAGTAATAAGGTATGATCTTACTGAAATTTGGCATACATGTAGAACATAGCTTGGAAGAACAGATAGGCTACTAAAGTTTCTTTTTAACTGCGCGCGGACAGAGTTGCGGGCGGCAACTAGTTATAATTATATTATAAATGTGAATGATTGGATGTTTGTAAGAAGGTATCTCCAGAACGGCTGCATGCATATCGATGAAATTTGGCATAGATGTAAAACATAGCCAAAAGAACACATAGGTTACTACTAATTAAGTTTTTAATTCCGCGCGGACGAAGTCGCTGGCGACAGTAATATCATGAACATCCGTATGCCTTTACGAGTTCAATTTCAATAAAAAAACAATAGCGGTTAGAACAAAAAAAAATAACTGTCAATTTTTTAATTATAAAGCAAACACAATTTTCTATTGATGTCAGTTTTGAATGAGAACGAACGAAATGTTAGTTTAATTTTTGCTATCCAGTTAAATGGCAAGTGAAATGGCTTTAATGAATTTAACTAGGTCAAATTGTGAGCGCTGGAAGAATTTTCAAATTGCTGTTAATTTAAAAAGAAATGATTACTCAAATTCTGTTTCATCTCCAATTATTGTAATGTCTCTATGGATAGTCAATTGACTTCTAAACTGAGATACTTTTTATGCAAAAAATTAGTAAACGAAAAATTGCAAATATTTTATGAGTCTGTTCATAAGCGACTTATTCTTTTTTTTTCTCACTTTACAGAAACATTAATCGTAATTCCATGACTAAAATTAAGATTGTTGTCGGCCTATGTTATATTTTAAGCATTGTAACCATTATTTGAATGTCTTACATTGATGTAGAGCGTCTTCAAATGTGTATTGGACCGTCTAAAGGTCAATGCACTCATTAGGGCTTGATTGAATTCAAATAGACGATGAAATTGGTGTGATGAAATATTTGTAGAAATGAATATGTACTTGTACGTTTAAATTACATTTTAAAACTTGGTCTTAGTATTGTTATATGTTTTTAAATCATTGGTTTTATTACACACGCTAAGTATTTTTGTTAAAAAGTTTATTAAAAACAACTTACGTACAGAATACATGCATATCAGGCAGTAATCTGCCGCAGTGTCTTTAGCGAATCGTAATGTTGAGATGAGCGCCCTTTGCGGCAGTTCATGGCTTCTTTATGATCCTGGCAAGGTGTGGTTGCAGGCAGGGTCTGCGAGCTCTTTGTTCATCGCTGCGGCAGGGGGCGCCGGCGTCAGCTGTCGTTATGCTAGTAGTCGGGCTCCCCGCGTGGCCGTGTGTGGACGTAACTACGTCCCTTCCGAACAAAACTTTCTTACGTCAATTCAATGGATATAACCTAACAAGACGCGAGTTTTTGCAAAGTTGCAAATAAAATGTGATTTTATTTCTATCTTTACAAATTCAAATGGCTCATTAATAACGTGTTTCGTTCAACGTGACGTGTTTGAGTGCCAATGATGTGAATTTTATAGTGCATTGTGTTAAAAAAAAGCAAATATGAGTATCCAAAAGTGCCTTTTGGATAACTCTAGCAGGATGATAAAAGCGATGTCGACGGCTAAATCTAATAACAATGAAGTTAAAACGGTAAGTAATGATTTTAAAGTTGGTTTGTGTATGAATTTAATATGTATAGCGTAAACTGTATAGGTTATCTTTCCCTTTGCTGCAGAGGTTAACAGCACGTAAAGCTATTATTGGTTATAATTGACGGTTAAAATGAACAGCATTGGTTATAAATTTATTAATATATTGACGTTAGTGATATGAGTATGTGTGCGCATGTATTTTGATGCATTTCAGTGAATTTAAGCATGCGTATTATACGGATATTACGTTGTTTT